CGGCAACAACTACTCACACTCGCACACACACACACACACACACACACACACGTAGTATGCACCGGTGCAGCAACTACAATGCAATGTGGAATGCACTGATGTCAGCGACACCGTTGCAATATGTCGAGCGAATAAAGTTGTCATCTATTTATGTATGTATGTATGTATGTATTTATCCAAGCAGCGAATTCACCCCCTGGCGGTGTGTATATATATGCAACTTGTGATTTGTGTGCATGTTTTTATGCGTTTCAATAAATTCTTCCATAAATCGAGTGTGACACGTCTAGTGTTATTAGAATTACCGAACGAAGGGAAAAGGTTGTCGTAGCGAAATAGAATATTTGCTTTGCAAGCGACCATATCGATAGCATAAGCAGTGACAACAAAAAAAAATATATATATATATACAGAAAGTCAGTAAAAAAAAAAACATAAAAATGGAATAAAAGACAGGCTCTGGCTCTGCAAGTATTTTCTGCGAAGTAGATGGAAAACGCGTGTACTGCGATTGTTAAGCTCACTCCAACCGTTAGATCACTTGGTCACTGCGGATGTACGTTTGACAGCCGGTGATGAAGAGCCAGCATAGGAATATAAATGTATTTTTATCCATAAATAACTCGACTTGTAAGATATTGGAAATGAGGTATAGTATGCAATAAAGGAAAATATCTGCTTGCACAGGATACCAAGTTTTCTTAGATATACTCGCATACTAGCAGTCAAAAAATTAAATCTAATTTTTTATGGATGTGTAAGCATCTTCACTGATGCATTATTATTCGTATTCGAGTTCGAGCTCGCTCTCGGATTATCTTCGTATTTGTATTTATTTATAAGTTAGCTAAATTCGATTTTATATGAGTAAATCTCATGCGTCTGATTGTGTGAAACTTCTTTCAATAACCTGATGAATGAGTTTAAATTTAATTTTTGTTTTTAGTACGAGGCAACGCTCCTGAATATAGTTAAGCAATAAAGCCTTCCCATTTGATACCCATATTTTAATAATTCCTTTCTCTTCTGCGCCAACTGATACCAAAATGTCCGATAACGGACTAAGGCTGATCGTCTTCGCCGGAGCCCGAAACATAGAATTATACAGTACTAGGTTCCAGCATAAAAAGATCCATCAAGCTACATGGCTGTCTTTAGCCAAGTCCTTCTCCACTTGGTTCATCCATCGTAGTGGGGGCCTTCCTCTACCTCTATTACCAGCATCGCGACACGCGTTTAATGCTTTCAGAGCAGCAGCGTTTCTGTCCATTCGAGCGACTGGGTCATGCCTGCGGAGCCGCCGTAATTTAGTTCGTTGCACAATGTCTATATCTTTGTAAAGCTGATACAGCTCTTCGTTCGTTAAATCGTCTGCGTACAAGGTCCCGTAAATGTTTCGCAGAATCTTTCTCTCGTAAACCACAAGAGCCGCTTCTTTGGATATTTTCATTGTCCATGACTCTGCGCCATACGTCAGCACAGATATGATGAGTGACTTATAGAGAGTGGTTTTCGTAGTTTGAGAGGACTTTATTTCTAAATTCGATGTCATCGGCATACGCCAGCAATTGCATGGGCTTGGAGTAAATTTTTCCCTGTCGGTTCAGTTCTGCGGATCTCGGCGAGGTCCTTCCCAATTCTGATGGAGCTGGTGGTATTGTCCAACGTCATCTTACACAATCGTATTAGTTTCGCGGGGATACCAAGTTCAGACAACATGACATAAAGACAACTTATTTTCGTGCTCTCGAAAGCAGTTTTGAAATCGACAAATAGACGGTGTATGTCGATTTTGATATCCTGTCGGGGGCAGCGCTCATATGGGCATTCGAAGCGCTCACAGAAAGGATCCTTTAACGCCTTATCCTCCTCTTCCGTCGAAGCATGGTCGCAGATGAGCCAGATATTGAAGAATCTCGCTTTGGTACGGAATGCGACTACACTTTCTGGTGAACGTCAGTACTTGACGACGAAGTCTCTCTCCAACCACGAATCTAGCAACGTATTTGCGCTCCTTTACATGGAAAGTGTAGTAGACGTCTCAAGGCTTCACACATACGTGGCGGTGATGTCAGCTTTTGTCTTCCCGAGGACATCACCCAGCCGGAAAGAGGCGCCTTCCCATTAAGAGTCTGGATATTCCAGGTTCCATATTCCTTCAAACCATAGTACATTTTATACGTTTGTCGCGGTCGTCACCAAAAGTCTTCTTTTTAACTGGGCGGGGTTTTAGCGTGGCCGGTTCCGAACCCAGCGCATGCGAAGTTTTACGCCTTCTTACTTTAGCTTGCTCCCAGACGGGTCGCTACCCAGAAGATACGTGGATATAACTGTCCGGACGTTGTGAGTTGCGATTTGAACTGCACGCACAAGAATCACTTCTGGCCACTCACAGGTGAATGGCAGTCGAAAGCTTTTCCTACTTACGTTGACGCGTTTGCAATTTTCTGCATTAAGGTACACATTTGTAATAAAATAAATAGTGTTAAGTTAGAAAAAATCCAGACGTGATGGAGCAAAATGGACTTCAGATTCGTGTTCAGCGACCCCAAAAACATATAAAAGACTAGGTTTGGTCAAGGGAACCTTTCATCGATTTTTATTTTTTTTTTGTGGTCCTGTGTTATTGTTTTACGCGAGCAGACGTACAAGAAATGTGACATCACTTCCCAGGTGTTTCTACCTCATACCTTTTTGTAACATCTTATTTATTCCTTTATTAACCATGCGTACACCTTTTTTTGTAGCATAAAGCAATCCACTCAATTCTCAACAAATCTTCAGTCACCTTCAACGTGAGGCAAGTTTTAGGAACGTCCGAACAGCTGCTTTAGCCCGCCCAAAATATTTTTAATTGCGTAGGATAGACAACTTTATAACAAAAGACAAAAATTCTGATCCAAAGCTTACTATAATTTTTTTTACTTAAAAGAGTGTGCCAGACTGGAACTCTTATGTATGTGCCCTTTTGCACTTAGGTACTTACTTTGCAGAGTTGAAGGTTTTTATAAAATTTTCACAGTTTTCAGTACAAGTAAAACAAGTATTAATTCGAGCTATTAACTAAGTACATATGACCTAGGACTCTGGGTGTAGGGTTTTT